ATTAAAATCCTAGAATTTTTCATTCGATAGTCTTAAAACTGAAGATATAATTGAAAAAAAAGGTAAAAGTAAAAGTAAAGTATTTGTAATGAAGGGAAAATTTATTCCAAGCAAAGGTGAAAGGGAGAGAGAGAGAAAAGCCATCCACCTAACTATTTGTTCCTTGCGCTTTTTGTTAGGTCAACGAATCAGCAAAATAATTTATATAAGAGAATGTTTCTGCTTTCTTCCCTCCTTTCCCTCCTTTTTCCGTTTTCTTTTCTCTTTCTCCCTCCCCTTTCCTCTCCCTCCCTCCCTCTCTCTCTCTCTCACACACTACTCAAAAAAAGGGACGGGAAAGGAAGAAAGGAAATGAGTGGAAAAGAGTAGCACAAAATGGAACAAAAGAGAGGAGGAAGAAAAATGATTAAAATGATTGCATGCATAATTACAGTTGCTAATTATTCCATTATTTAATATGAGTTAACAATTTCGAATTTTGAATTCATTAACTGACTAATTGGAAGATTTAAATTGATATAAATACAATAATGTGTTGAGTGTGTTGAGTATTTATGTAACTGTTCACTAATAATTTATTGTTACATAACAATTATCGATAATTAATAATTTCATTATTTGAATTCAAAGAAAAAAATGCGATTTGTTCGCAAAGTTCTCTGCATTTCGCCAAAAAATTCACTTATGTAAATGCCAATTGGAACATTTTTTACTATTAATGAATGAATTATTTTGTCATTATTCATTTTCCTTTCTGTTCTGATATTTTCTTTCGGCATCATTCCGTGATTATTTCACGTTACTTTTCAATAATCCAGCAAACTGGATATTTATATTCTAGAGAACAGCAACTAACTTAGCTTGTTAGTGTGATAGACTTTCAATAAGTAATTTAGTAGTAAAAATAGTGTGTAAAAGTTCAAGGAAATGAATGAACATCTCAAAAAATACTCTATCACATTGAAGTATTTAAATTTCCTTAGGACACAAGCAATTTCATAGCGTTCCACGTAGTTTCTCCGGAATGTTATGTCATTGTTATCGTTATTGTCGTTGTCATTGTTGTTGGTATTACTGTTGTTGTTGTTCTTATCATTGTTATCCTTAAAGTTATTGTTACTATTGTTGATTTGTTGTTATTATTACTGTTATTAATTTTTCTCTTTTGTTCTTTCGGTAGTTACAAAAGGTTATATTATGATAGTTATTGAAGAGATTATATTACATATCTGAGTACAGTATCTCTCTGTTCATATTTTTTGTATTCATGCCAGCTTATTTGTCTATTTCAGCTAGATATTTGTTGTTATGATTGTTTGAAATTTTAGTTAAATTCAAAAACTTTCGAAAAATTTATCTGCTACTGAAGTTACAGGTTTGCATGCTTAATCATTCCAAATGCCTCCAACCGGTTCCTTAAATTTGTCGCTTCAAGTGGCCGGTAATGCGACTGTAAATACAACAGGTGGAAATGATGACGAAAGGATTTGGTTAGTCTTTTTTTATTCTAGGAGGGAATTCTGGAAAAACTCATGAAATCTGGATTGGTTTTCTATCAGTTATTTGATAAAGTTAAGATTAAGGAAGAAAAGATTTGGGAGGAAGAACGAGAAAAGGTTGTAAAAGTGGGAGATGAAAGAGAAAAATTAGGAAGTCAAAGGCATATAATTGAGAAATGGATCTTTCGTTGTTAGGAGTTGCTAATTGCCGCTTTTTGGAAAAGTAAGTATGCTTGAAATTGTAAATATTACAAGTTTGGAATTGATTTCAGGACTCAAATATTGTCCGAAGTAAGCGCTAATGGTATCAGCAGTAGCTCACCAGGAACGATTCTCTTTCTAGGTAACGCCATTAAATACTGCATGCTTTGTTAAATTTAAAAAAATAATTTGTTTCCCTAATAAAAATGTTCATATCCTTATAACTTTCGCTTTAAATAAAGTAAGTTTTATTCGCTTAGCATTTCAACAAAGATTGTCTGGTTGCTAAAACTTTGGATGTAGTGATTCTCTAGCAAAAACTACCGCCAGAAAAGTTAAAGCTGAAGAAAGTGTCAAATAAAACTTCGACTCGAAAAATATAAAAGAAAGTGTTGTGAAAGATGACCGAATAATTTATGTCAATGGCATGTGTTAATGAACTGTAGAAGCATGTTTCCGAATAAGTTATGTGTTGAACTGCAGGAAATAGACAGAGCGGTAAAAGTTGGTTGTTGAATAGACTTGAGAAACGGGAAACATCTGGTCGTGGCTCTGCGCTTGAGTATCATTTCTTGAATGTACATACAGATTACAGGGACGTAAGTTACGCATATCAGTTAGCTTCGGCAGGTATATTTATCAGATTTAATTTATTTGTTTTTATGTGATCAATAACAATAAAATCATACTAAGGCAGTTGATCGTTAAATAAGAATGATTTCAGGCTTATAATGTTTGAAGTACAGTAGAATTTGTTTGTGAAGATATGTAGTTTCTTTGCATAATAGATCTTATTATGCATCCGTGCATAAGAATGCAACGTCTAACTCGGTGCGTTTCAGCTGTTAGGCATTTCAATTTCAGGTGCCGGTGTTGCACCCGGCGAGAGCGTAACACTTCCTGTATGGGTTTTGGATGGTGATGTGGCATTCGCCCCTTTAGTGAAATTCGCTTTAACTGCACCGTTAAGTAAAAGCATTGTGATATTATGCGCGTCGATGCAAGAACCCGGATCCATACTGCCATCACTGAATAAGTGGGTTAAAATGATAGGTGATCAAATCGAAAATATATTTGACAAAGCTACTGTGACAGATGCTCGTAAATCACGTAAGTTTCTTTACCAAATTTTTACTCATGTATGTAAGTTATGCGTAATTCCTGTCGTGTAGTATCTTTTAGAAATATATAATAAAAGATAAAGATAAAAAATATTCAAATTATTATAGATGAAAGAGATGAGATTATGTTTGGAAGAAATGTTTCCAAAAAAGGTCATTTCAGAAGAATTATTTTGGCAGGAGTATGTTGAACCACTGGATAGCTCGATGCAAAGTGATAAAATACCATCCATGGAAACAGAACATGTACGTTCGTATTTCAAGATACTTTTACTGTTGGTACTTTGATTCAGTAGGTGAATAATCTCACGCATTTTATTTCTCACCTTTCTTTTTTGCTTAGCTTCCTTTGTCTGATTAAAAAGAAGAGAAAATTCCGTTTTAGGTATTGTTACCGTTAGATCAAAATATCTTGACTCGAAATACAGGTGCTGCACTAGTAGTTGTGCTAACCAAGAGTGACTTAGCACATACTGAAATGTCTGATGATCAACTTGATCGCCTACAATATCACGTTCGCAAATTTTGCATGGCACATGGAGCTGCTTTGGTAGGACATCATATATTTTTTATCAATAATGTTTTGTTTACGTCAGATGCGTATATATACAAAATTTGTTCATTCAGTCCTTAAAGCATATATGGATGTATTTCAGGTTTATACATCTGCAAAAGAAGAAAAAAATACAGCTTTACTGTACAAATATCTTGTTCATCGGGTATGTGGAATGCCATTTACAATGCCTGCTCATGTTGTTGACAAGGATTCAATATTCGTGCCGGCAGGTTGGGATAATGAGAGAAAGTTGGATATAATCAAGGAAGCGATCCCAGATGTGGACCACCCACTAGAGGTTAATTTCCATTGTTTTAGCAAAGTGAATAATGGGGAATTGCATTGGTGGTTTGAAATTAGCTATATATTCTAAATACTTTAGGTTGAGATTTGGGTATTAATTGAAAGTAGTAGGTAAGTCTTGCCTTGCAATCGTAGTTTAGTTCACATTCCAGTTTCTTTCAAAACAATTTGGCAAAAGGATTCATGTAGTAAGATCTTTTTCATTTGTCACAGATAGTGCGTGAAAGACAGTCTGTACGAGATCAGATAATGGAAGCGGAGGAAGAGCAAGCGTTCCTACACAAACTTGCAAGTGTGGAAGTTGCATCACCGAAACGAAGTGCACCGCAAAAGCAAACAAATGAAGGAGCAGAAGGCAACTCTCCTTTAGTTTCCTTTTTCAACAATCTTCTTAGAACCAAGGAGGGTCAGGTTGGTTTTTTTTTGAATGTTGCGAATTTTTTTTAATTGAATTATGTTTTTGAGATTGTTGAACAAAGATTAAGCATAAAGGATGGACACTGTTACTTGCAGGCTGCACAGACGAGTCGTGCAGTGATTGATCCGCAAGCACAGTTACAAAGAATGCTGGAACAAGTAAACAGTTCGGTAACATCAGCGGCAAAATCAAGTGGAGAGCAACCATCAGTAATTCCAGACTTAACTTCAACTCAGCAGCAGTCATCATGAATGTGATTCAAAATTCAAAGAAATACTGCTAAATTATAAATTTCATTGCAGTAGGTTTGCTGAAAAGTGAAATGATTGTTACTGCATGCGAAAGTCTTAAACTATCGATGATGATCAACAGTCCGTCTTCTCTCATTTTATCTAACATATTTATGTCAGTATTGTCGCAGTATTCCTTCAGGGTGGGAGTTTTACCGGAATTCATAATACAACTTAAGAGATATGGTATTAAAGTAGTCTTTATATTTCCATTTTGAATTGCATCCATTTCTTATTTCCGAGTTACGTATGAAGTTCAATTTATCGACTTTGGATGCCATATTCTTTCCCACAGTATAATGTTAACAATATAGTTCATGTTTCCGGACCAGAAAAAGTATCCCTACAAAATTAGAACATCATTCAAATTGAATATAATCCTGTAACTGAAAACGGCAAATTTTCTTCCATCTCGAGAATTCAAGGAACTGCTTTTTTTCTCCATCACCGGTGAAATTGCTTGCTTAGTAGTAACTCATCGATGACCATATTTAAAAGAAATAAATGAATAAATGAGATAACAGTAATGGTTTTACAATGTGTATTAAAAGTCCACAAAAAAACATGGCTTTTCTTAAAAGATTGTAGCAAGTACTGTATCCTATTTGGTTTTTACAAATTAGCATATTCCAGACGGCCCTTCGCAAATGGCTGGAAAATTTCAAGATCTTCCTGATAATTGCGATCAAGCTCGTAAAACTGAGTGCACAGCGATGGTTTGTAAGGTATCAAATCGAAGCACGGGTGTATTATTCGTTTTTTGATCCTCCTCAAATTAATCGTATATTCAAAATTTCGACAAAAATGGTAACGAATAACTCATAAAATCTGCATAAAGGAAGAAATCTCTCGAAAATTTTCAAAATATAAAAGTCTAGCAAGAATACAACTCACAAGTGTTCGAGAATGTCAGTAACAGACTCATCATTCTCAAGAAACATATCCACTCTGTACGGTAAAGACCGCTTGCACGGGAAGCGACGAATATTTACAATTGTACCAGTTGGTAAAATATTTCGCAGAATATCAGTTTCGGATCGGTGTGGATGATACTGCATTGAGGTTGGCAGGCAGCAGAGATACGTCTGAAAGAAATTAGAAATGGTAAATTTGAAATTAAAAGTAATCGATTATATAATTTTCGATATCGGATTTCCGGAAAGTTTAGAATACGTTTATTCTAACGTTTAATCTTAAGTTATTAAATGTCGTAAATAATAATGCTCAGATATTGTTCCAATCGCTGATTCTCTTGATTTGGTCGAAATGTTTCGAATCCAGAGGATGATATCAAACACGAAGGATATTGTCTGACACCGAAGGTGATCCGACTGCTGCACCACTTGGCACAACCTACTCTACCTCCGATTATGCATACACATCTGATGAATAGATTGACATCAGAGTGCCAAGAACCGAGGACAGATTTGAACTTCTGACATTTTAGTTTGACAGGACACTTGTCACTATGCCAGTGCCACCAAACTGGAGCCCTTTCAAACTTTGAACACCTAGTTTATCCCATCATTTCACGAAAGATTAGTTAAGACTATTAAGCTAAAATTCCAATAGAAAAACAAAGATGCTGAAGGTTATTCCGATAAGTGTTAAGTAAACGTATGAACTCCTGATGATAAAGTTGATAAGAAACGATTTTTTTTCTACTGGATGGTAGAAATTTTAACTTAAAGTTACTGTGATCAATTTATTTATATTACTACTGTGATCACTTTTATTACGCTTCGCGCATTAAGACTATTCAAAAAGTTTGACAAATGCATTAGTGACAAAGATGAACTTTGTTCATTTGTCAAAAAGTAATTGACAAAGGCTTTGAAGATAATGGAATTCGATGGTGAAGCATCTAACTTACAAGAGGTGTTTCCGAGAATTCTCTCGTAAGGAGGCGTAAACTACCAGATAGACAGTCTATTTTCGACAAATTCTTCTTCCACCCATGATCAACACTACGTAGCCATACCATTTGCTCTCCAACTTCCGCCACTATAACTCGGCAGGGATTGCAAGCTAAGCTATCGGCATAAGCACAAGCTAGAGCTGGTATCAACCATTTCTCAGGAATAATTTTTAGTTCGGACCACTGAAACAACAATTTGGTTGTATAGTGAAGGACAAGAAAGGCTTCTAGAAATACCGACGGTAATAGAACAGACTGAACAAAACAAATCTAACTAAATGAGGAAATGGTATTGCTTAGTAAACTTCAACTTGGAAAAATTTATGATAGTTCAATAAACTGGATGAAGATTAGCAAACGAATCTTACTTGATTATAGCACTTAGCTTTAATTTTTAGAGACAAATCAATCGTAGTGAACTTTCTTAAGAAATTAAATTGACTTAAAAATTTTTAAATTTTTAAGACAGTTTTAGTGTAGTGTGATGCTTGAATGCTGGAATAATTTCAAAAACAAAGAGGTTTTAAACTTGAGCATGCGAACAGAAAATACGAACTAAACATTGTGGAAGGCATTTTAATAGAACCTTAATGAGTAAGTGTTTTTCCAATTTCTTGATTGTCTTTTTGTGATATTCACTATGTAAATAAATAAATCGGCTATTTTCGATATGCGAAATGTACAATGGTTCATCAGTGATCGGCTTTTGTAATCTGGAAACTTGACAAGCTATTACTATTAATTTGATAAACTATTTGCTTTTACTCTTTCGGTCCTTTGCATTATCAATTCCTCCTTTCTAGCATCAATCCCAGTCTGCTTCATGTCGCTACTCTAATTACTTGAACGAAATGATAACTTCACCTTTCCAAATGCAACACATGTGTAGGCTGTAAATATTTATCTTCGGAACTCTCCTCACTCGAGCAATCATTTGAAAAGTCGTCGTTCTGAAACCAAATTTTTCATTTTAGAAACATTTTATTTTCTTAATTTCATAATATAATCTTGACATATCGCTGAAGTGTTGCTAAACTTTTACTGATTTGCAACAATGAAAAAAAGACAATAGGAAAAACAAACAAATGCAAAAAAGGAAAGAGAGTGACAGTTATGACATATAATATCTCAACTTCATTATCATTTCTAATTTTTTAATACTGAGTGTCATACTCACTGCCTTAAACAGGAGAAAAAAAACCTTTCTAGCACTCTGAACACATATCAATTGGATTAAAATATGAAGCCTCATATCTCAGATTAATTTGCAACCAAACACCAATCACAGATTACATTAGAAGACTTATATGGACCGAATTATCAAAAACTTTACCCGTAAACGAATTGCAGAATGGTTCAAATATCATGAAGTCTTTTCAGAAATACTATTGTATACATGATTTTGATAAGGGTATGCTATTCTGCATGACAAAAAGCATCCGGAGAAAAATGTAATTTGAAGTGAAACGAAGTATCATATTATCAAATACCAAAATAATAAAAGATACCATTCGAGCTAATTTTTTATTCCATCGTCTCTCTCGGGCCGCCTTATGTTCGATATGCTCTTTACAACGATAAAACAATTTACCGAGATTCACACCTTGCACCGTTGGATGATACAAATTGACAAGAAATGGTATGGATGAAACATCAGCAAGTTCTACTCGAACAATATTACCACAAGATTTAATTAAATTTTGGAATGTATTCACTTTTTCCACTGTTAAATCATTCATATCGACGTCTGTTAAAATAAAGTTACTGTTAAATTTCTTTTCTAATAATAATAATATAAGAATTATCTTTCGCTGCTGTATCAATCAGATACATGCTACATGCTTCATCTCGAATGATATTTTTGCTCATGCCATATTGATAGGTCTATCATAGCTTTAACAATTATTTCCTTTTTCTTCCGCAAGATCTAACATAACCTATTGATGAAATCAAAAAAAAAGCATTGTTTATATATTTGTTGTATTCAAGCCTTCCGACTAATCGCTTGGTTTTTCTGTGTTAGTATGATTGTATACAAGTCAATTTAACTTTAACGTCATGAAAAAACTTCATACTGTTAAGTTTATATGAAACTTCCTTTACAACTCGAATTGGATGTCAATTCAATATCGCTTATAAATTTCTGAAATCATACCTTTCATGCGACAGCGGAAAGCAAGCGGAGGTAAACGACCAAAATGTTTCAGAAGAGGCCGAACATTTTCTATTTTGGCAATATTGTCATTACCGATATCCACAAGATCTATTATTACACCATTTCCTTTACTGAATTTCAAGATCTTTGCACGTGACCATTTCAAGTTATTGACCAACACTGCGCATGGTGCACCAATGCACATTTAAAAACAAAATGAAATAGTAGTCTTTCAAATATTTAAAAATTCATCATATTCACTTTATTAGCAAGCTCAAATTTTCAGGAGAAAAATCATGCCTGATCACTTGAAATCATAAATTCATTCTCAGCACTGTATGCAGCCTGAATTTGCTGATATAGTCGCTCACGGGCTCGATCCAGTGATTTTGGCTGTCATGAAATATTCGCATTTTATAACCATAACATAGAATTTTTTATAATCATATAATCCCCTGAATGCTGCTACTCCAAACCAGATTCAAAATATCAACTGTCAAACTATTCTACTTTAATCCATTCTTTAGCCAGACTAATGTTGATATTTGTATGATTATTGATATATCCGAAAATTTATTACTATTTGAAAAAATTCAAAGCAAATAAAATAAATTGGCGTCAACATGAAACTGTTGAGAGCAGTTAGAATTTTAATAAGTCAAATCATTCCTTGTGCAAAAAATTTCATACTTGAATGCTGAAATCATAGGGTGAAAATGAATTCGGTAAATGTGCGTAAAAAACAGGAAGTGTAGCGGACGATTGTCTTGCAGGTGCAATAGCAGTTGCAGCAACATTGTAATGGTAGTGAGCAATGACCTGCGGTTCAGCATATTTCCAACAATACTGTGGAAAAGCTTCAGCCATATCTAGAAAAATCCCGAAGATTACAAGAAACAAAAGTACTAAATATATCAATTTATCAGAGCATTTCATTGGCTGCGTTATCTCAGAAAAATTATACAATAACATTGTGATGTTTTGATTACTGATTGGAAAAGCAAAATCAGATAAACTTATCTCCTTATTACTAAAATACCGAAATTATCAGACTATTAATAACTTTATTATGAGTACAACATACAACCAAAATACACACTAACACAAACCAAAATATACACTAACACAAAGTTCCTAACCATTAATATCTTAATATCAACATTTCTCTAGAAATACAATTATTAAAAGCACATACATCGTAATTTCCATTCCGGTCCACCTGAAACTTCCACCAAATCGCGGCACTCACTCCATTTCACTTCTCCCTTCCTGTCTACCAGCAGCTCTGAGTTGAAGACCGATGAACAACTCTTCTCAGTAGTTGAAATAATTTGGGAAATATCAACAGTACTAACACCAGCCATTCTCGTCAAATAATCTGCAATGACACTTCACAATAATCCCTACTCACCAGAGGATTAGTTGCGGTTCAGTGAGCTATCATTCGAGAGTAACTGGTAGATGTTGGCAATGAATTCTGCACGAGTTCCTGAACATCCTGGAACAGGAAGTATGAAAGGTACATAGATGACCGTAACATGCTGCCACAAACTTCGTGTGGAGAAATTCTCCGTTCACAATAGTTCAACAACTAAGTAAATTGTTACAAGCGTTGGACTGATCATCTTCATCTCATCCATACTTATAGAAACTCATATTCCTCATTTCCTCTTTTCCCCATTTTCATGTTTATTTCAGTGATTTGCCAAATGATATTAACGGATATTCATGTATACCGCAACATACACACATGACATGAAACAAATGCAATTTATTACGAAAAGCTGAAAAGTATGAGAAGAAACAATGGAAAATATATCCAATACAAGGCAGTTATTACAACACTGTACAACGAAACTGCATATTTATTATTTGCAAGCGTACGATTTCAAAGGTCGAAAAAATTCCATCTGGAAATTAAAAAAATCCTAACCGCTTCTATCTTGATGGTATGGCCTTCAACTTACGTAAGCATCTTTCTCTATACCGTTACACCTATTCTTTTAAAAATAATTGCATCTTCCGAAATCACTTCAAAATGATGCTCAGCTTTTCATATATAAGACTGCTAAGTTTCGGAAGAGAGTATTTACATGCTTTACTGATTCGCTGAACAAAGGCTGACTACAAGTATTACATTTTCAGAAACAGATGTTTGCGCATGCTAACTTCATAACGAATGACTACTGAAGTGGGTGTCAAAAAATGCATCCAACTGTTGCACTTCATCATTTTCGTACTCCTCAAAAGCACTCTCAAAATCTATGTATTCGATGCGTGATGTGGATGCTTCCAAATGCTGAAAAAAGCAATAAATTATATCGTATCTATATAGACCCTACTTTTCAATAGCAGCAGCTCACAGTACATCAAAATAAAAGAAAAGAAATGGTTCCTCTTTAATATCTATCACAATCCACTAAAAAATGACAGGCTTGACTGAGTTCCTCAAATTCATTATTCATCAAAAAATATTCAGCGGTGATTTTGTAATAATACTCTAATAAATGGTAAAATTTTGATATGCCAAAGTGTCAAATTATCTGGAATATTTAAATCAAAAAAGCCAATTTACTTCAGGCACTTCAGATGTGTGTGACTGCTGAACTGAAGATTGCTGAAGAGTAAGAGCATCAGACGGGTTTTCTTCGTGTACATAACTTTTAAATTTTCTATGTACAAGTGCATCAACTTCTGGATCGTTAAATGATAGAATAAGTGGCGCTTTCAGTTCACGTTCTTTATCGGCTTTTATTTTACTTCCATATTCAGATACAGGAAATAAACTTTCCGAAACATTTGACATTGATGCTTGCTCACCTGCAAAATACGAAAGTATTGAGCCTTTCACCTCTTAAGAATTTTTCCAAAAAAACTTTATAGATGTATTTTGACAGATATGATTTTAATTCATTCTTCTTATACAAAGTTACGAGTTTAATGCTAATAATGAGATTTCTATATTATTGTAAAATTGCCAACTGTTAGCTTCGAAAAAAGATTCTTAAAGATTCAGCTTAACAATAAGATTATAGCATTATAAACACAGTTTCATTAAGTAAGTAACTAACACTGAAGCTTAGTAATTTCTTAATGCAACTGAAGTCTCGAGAAATTTAATAAGAAATATAGAATGAAAATACGTCTACCGTTTTTGCTTGAATGAATATATTCCATGGAAAAAGGTTCGCAAACTCCTGGTGACATAGTAAGTGGAGTAGATGCGATATGTTGCATCTTACTGTTTACTCCATCATCCTGATTTCCTACCACTTCAGAGCATGATAATATGCTGTCAAACTGCAATTACCTGATGTCATCATAATATGAATTTACACAATTTATTTACTGAGCCTATATATTTGTTAAATCTATAAAGCGTGAAAAATAGAAACGTCGGATGATCAACAAATTATGTGTTTGAACAAAAAAAGAAAACAAAACTCACGTCTTTGATGCCAAGACGGTGGGCAATCTGAACACGCAATGCATCCGGATCAACAGCTTTCTTGAGCGTCTCCAAGTCTAGCGTATCTTCCTGACCAGACCGCCTCTGTTGCATACGTCGCACGAGACGCTGTTGTTTCACTGGTATTGATGGCACAAATTTCATAATTTTACGCTTGCATAACTCGGAACCAAGAGCATCCAAGTACTCCGCACGATTGTATCGTAAATTATATGCCGTTACCTATTAAATAAGCACTTTTCACTGGGCTTTATAAAGAAAATAACAGACGATGTTAAAACTAGAAAAAGCAAAAAAGGAGAGGTCATCTCGTCTTGGTAATTAGCATAACTTGAAAAGAGGGAGTTATAATCATCGAGATTATATTCATAGTAAAGATTACAAAAGCTGTCGAAACTGTATTTGCAAAATAAAAATTACAAAAGCGTCTAAATTTGTACGACCACCAAAATGCACTGGCCGACGCCAGTTCAGTGAATCGAATATTTCATTTGAGATCATATCAGGATGAAACTTTGAAGGAGAACCTTTCCTGAAAAATAATGTAATTTAACATTAAAACTAAATCCACGGCAATGAAAAAGAATTAAAACTATTAACATTAAAACGGCTATATATATAGAAAAATGAGGAACAGAATTACAATTACTATTATTACCATATTATGCATAAAAATAAGGGAAGAAATGCCCTATCTGTCTTTTGAAACAGAGAACAGAAATAAAACATGAAACAAATTTGGAACAAATAATGCAGAAATATGATTTCATGCTATGAAAGATCAATCTACGGTATGAAATCGAGAGTGTTGTGGACGAGAAAAGGATAAATTAATTTTAAAAAGAGAAGTTTTGCAATGAAGACTAAAATTGAAGTAAGCAAAAAACAACTATTATCGTTATTATTTCTACACTTTAACAATTACAGTTATCAGTTTGCAGTTGTCTTCGCACTGCTTTAATAACGGGATAATTTATCCTTTAAAATTCGAAAAAACTTACAAAATGGATGTTCGAGGAGCTGGACTCGTCTCCTCTGGGCCTTTAATACCTTTCATGGACTGTTTTAGAGCCACCTCAACAGCAGCAATGCATTTTTGATCTGCCGGCAAATTCCTCGGCAAGGTAGGCCGATCTGCACTATTATATCGTCGTTTCCGAAGGGATGATCTCATCCCCAAATTTGTAATCACTTTTGTCGAGATTTTAGTAGATGTTTCTGAGTCACTGTTTTCAAAATAAGTTGTATGTCTGCCAACACTTGGTTTTAGTCGATCTGTTATTGATTGTCGTTCCTCGATATCTATTTCCATCTTAGGCCATTTTCGTAAATAATTCTGGACTGCAGCGGATGACCTTAGATTATTGACACCTTTCAACAATTCTTCAAGTGTTAAATCACCGAAATCTCTTTTCGCTTCTTCTACAGAAATTATCTTCAATAAATGATGCTCTGCCTGTCCTGTGCACAGTGATGAAGACGTTTTTTCATTCTTGATGAAATCATGTTCCAAAGCCACTCTAACTACTAATTCCTTTATCAAAGAAGCAACTACGCGGTCATCGTCAACAACTTCTGAGTTTGATCGTTTTTGTTTTTGTTTTTGGAAAACTTCCCGTATTTGAACAATATTCACAGATTCTGGCCTTCTCCTGTTCACGGATGGCACCACGAGCGAAATCCGATCTAAAGAACTACTACTTCTCGATACAGAGTTACCACAAGTTGTTTCATCCAACTCATCTTCGAAAGCAGCATTTTTCTTCCGCTTTCTTATAGTTTTTGTTGATATTTTAGAAATGCATTCAGCTTCCTTTAAATCTTGATCGGTATGCAAGATGTTATTTTGAGGTGTTGATCGTAAAACTTCCAGAACAACATCTTCATTTTCTGAATGTATGTCTTGCGAATTTACTCCCCCGAACTGTTCTTGTTGCTCTTGAGCTGGCGAATGTGTTTGTGAACAAAATTGAACGAAAGAATCTGTAAATGAATCCAGAGGAAAGTCTGAAGTAACGACACATTCTGGAACCAAGTCCACTTCCCACGATTTCGAGTCATACACCATGTCTTTTGCTTCCATATTACCTGAACATTCCCACTCGTAATCTTTTTGATCTGAAGCATTAGACTGACTATTTACAGGTTGCATATGGGTTTCCTTGATCAATTCGAAGTTTTCTTCTATATCTTCTTCATCAATTCGAATCTGTCGAATCGGAACTTCAGACTCCCAAATTTCCGTTTCAGTTGGAACATACTTAAATGAAGTTACATCTTAAATTCAACATAAAATTAAATAACCAAAAAATAGATTACTCATAAACAATAGGAAAAAGGAAAGAAACAACTAACAGGATTTGTCCCCTCTGAAAGGAGAGGTGTACTGAGAAATGAATCCCGACTACATTCCTCATTCTCCGTAAGTGCGCTTTCAGGTCTCACTGAACTGCCTCGTGTTGCATGACCCGAAGACGGCGTGACTGTACCAGATTTATTCTGAAAATTAGATAGCGCAATATATTTCTTGCTTAACATAATTTTTAAATTCAAAAAGTAAAAAAAAGAACCTTCTTGGTATTATTGATGTTTCCTCGATTCAATTTATCTCGGAAAACATTTGGGTAAAGATACCATAAACGTTGTGGTAATAAATGAATATTTGGCAAAGGTATATAGCCTGTTCTCATCTGTTCCTCCGTTCTCCTTGTCCAAAAAACTTCCTTTGGTATCCATAATGGAAAATGGCAGCTCTAAAATAAGTATTTCCATCAAGTTCAAAATTTTCTAAACATTCTGTTTCTTTTTTGAAGTAGCTTTCTCGGAAACAATAATAATTAACTAGTGACATGGTCGTAATGGAATCCAACGATTTTATGTTGCACTAAAACTTACACCATCCCCATTGAGATTTGAACTGATGGCTAATGCTTTAAACGTGTAATGTACATTGCTAATAAATAATGATATTTTGAAATTCTAGAAGAATATGCAATTGAAATTAGTGACACTTAACAGAAAAACAGTAACAAAACAAATTTCTCCACTGCTTAATTATTGTTTGTTTCAACTCTCTTGAAGCACCAAACGTTTCATTTAAAACAAAAATAGGAAAAAACTTGACAAACTTGGTTTTTTATGCCTCGACAAGTCCACCATATTCTTTGATATGTTTGACCATTTTCTTGATAGACATCAAGTTCAAGGGCTTCCAACCGTTCCGGACATTTAGGGCATTGAAGTATGTCGAAATCGTAAACCTAATTTTCACAATCTCAATCTTTGCCATTACCAAGCAAAATCAACTATCTTAGCAGGAAAACCAATAATATATTCAAAATACAAACTACTAAAAACACCGCTAAAGACCAGACGCAAACTGAATTGATCAAAAAAGCGAAAAAAAAAATTTAACTAAAATGCAAAAGTAGAGAGTTAAAAAAAGGATTCTTACACGGTTTTTATCGCGTAATTGATAGAAAAGCGATGCAGTGATATCGTCCAAATTTGAAGCAGCAGTAGTTGGTGAAGAAGTCATAGCTGTACCTCAGATGTCCTCCTTTAATCAGTCATTTGCGAAGAAAGAAGATGGCATCACAAAATCATCGACAGGAGGATCACCGGACAACTTTCTCCCCAAAATTGCTGCACTAAGAATTTATTCATCACTGTCGCTCAATGAAGCGACTCTGATTGACTATTCAAATGAAAAGTTGAAAAATACTTTCAGAAGTACCAAAAAAATTATTAATGAATTTCACACTAAGAAATTCAACGGACATCTCACTAGAATCCATACAATTGTAAAAAAACTATTTCTTTTCACTATCATGCGTGCAGAGAAACAGTTTTCAGGAGTCTTTTACAAGAAACTAGATAACGGTAAAAGTTAATAGTCCCAATTGTCTAGCATATAAATTAAGTAAACTGCATAATGTCTTGCATGATAAATTTCTTTTGATAATATCAACAGTTGTTGCAAGACTACGGCTATCTTGATAATGTAATACAATCTTTATTAAAATAAGGAATATGTGGAACTGCTGGAATACCCCAAGTATTAATAAATTTTTGAGGCTTGAAATCTAATATTTTAACGAAGTTTGTTGAAACATCCAAAATTTTCCCATATCACTAAATATGAACTGAACAAAAAAGTTGAAGCAACATAATGTAAGTAAAATCCGTTATAAACACACCATTTTCCAACTAGAAATTCAAAGAATCGTTCTGAAATAATGTTGTAAAGCATAGAGCTCTTTCAATACTTGTAATAGTACGAGTAAGCTAATTCCTGATCACTTTCTATTGCTGCGTCGATTGTAGCCACAGTAACCTTAACAAGCCAAATAATGATATTATTTTTATAGTAACATTAACGTATGTATTGGCAATATAATTTCGAGTATTTACGAATGATTCGAGAAACGTATAAGCAGGAAAAATGCTTCTCAAGAACAGAATAACTTTAATATCAAAAAGAACTTTTTTCTTTCAACACTCATTTCTTAAATCGTGGAAGATATTTTTAATAGAAAAATTTTCTTCGTTTTTCAATTTCTGCAGATTTTTTCACAATCCTTCTGGAATTAGTAATAAAGGTGAATATCACATTTTGATGCGTCAGTGTTTAGATCCAGCGGAACACGTTTCAAAACTTCAATAAATTGTTATCCATTAAAACAAACTATCAACAAACGAAATAAAATTCGTTTTTATCTAAAAATAAACCAAAGAATCACATTTCAGGTGTCATAGATAGAAAAGTTACAAACAGATAAAGCATATGGAACATTTACAGAATATGGAGCTTCGGGCTAACTTTAAAAACCCATGAATTATAACAGTTATAACATTTTGGGTAACTTTAAAAACCTACGAGAGGTTAAGCTTTTAAAATTATCAGCATACTCGAGCGTTATAACAGGCTTGACTTCAAAATTAATCTGTAAGACTTTTAAAACTAGTGTAAAACGTGCACTTAATACACTGACGGATATCAACGTAGCATACGTCCACACATGCCCAACTTACCTCCCACGCCAATTACGATAGTCTCCAATCACGTGATGAGTAGGGTATCGTATGCAATGATTCGATCTGAATTTTATTATGTGTTTGGTAGCATTTTCCGAATCTTCTGAATTAATCTCCCGTTACGATCTCGAAATGCCAGATCAAGCATTTTCATTTCATTAATAAATATCAGATAGATATTGAAAATGAGCAGTCTAAGTCTTATGATGGCCATTCAACGATGTTCACGTGGGATATCTCTTTCGCGGGATTACAATCTTAACTTAGGTCTCGATCTTGCGCACCTCTCGGTCTTAACTTTTCTAACTATAGTCTGCAGTTTCATAGTGCACTTGAAAAACGTATGAATAACACAAATAAGATCATTTGGTGTTTACTTTTTTCATAAGCAAAAATTATTGAAAGCATAGCAATTTTTGTTTGTACATAAATTTAAGAAAAAAAAATACACATGAATGACATTGATTGATGACTTTGGCAAATGAATTTTAAGATGGAGTTCACGTTAAATTACTGATTAAAATATCGCTAAATTATTAGCTTCTTGTCTTAACCAGTGTCGGAGAACTACTTATTCTAAAATATACAATTCGGAAAATTATTTGAACATTTATCAGGATTCGATCTGATTAAGGAATGCTCAGAAATAAGCCATCACGTCCACCAATAGAAAAATGCGAATCTAAGAGAAAAGCTAACCTGTTAATATTTATTCAGTTTAACTCTCACAATTTCAATAAATCCAACTATGGTAAACTTAAGTAAATGCATTATATTTTCATGGTCTTTATTTACTATGTTAGTCCTAGCAAGTAAATAAGGTTAAATATTAACGAAAGTTCAAAGCCCTCAATTTGAAACTACGGAAAATATCATTGGAAGATACTCTTGACTTTCGAAAAATGATATATCTTATTAAATCCATGCGATTAACGGTTAATTCTATTTATTAAACTTGAATTAAAAGTATTATCAACTCCTAACTTTAGTTTTAAAGTTACCATAAAAAGCAAAACAATAAAAGACTAGCAAATGATTTACAAAAATACAAATTGACAAGTTGTGCACAAAGTGAAAGCATGAATGGAAGAATGAGAAAAAAAAAGTTTTAGAATGACTGGACAAAAAGTTATGTATGCATACTATTAAGCAATAAAAGAACAAATACATGTGGCTGAATTGCAATATCAAAATCACAGTCAGTACAGCAATGGTTGAAATTCAAACTTCTATACATGAGGTTTTAGCGGAAATCTATGAATTTTTTCTTTCGATATCAAATCTCATTTATTAATTCCCCCCAAAATTCCAAATCGATTTTTTTTTTCATATATTATTAAAAGAAATGATACAAGAAGTGATAATATCAAAATTGCCTAAAAGATAACAAAAAGTTCCACGGAGTTTCTCTCCATCTCTTTTCCTCTTTTTCTATTCAAGAAGTTCAAATTCATCATAACTGTCATTGACTTCACCAAGATCTGCATAGTCTGAAAAACAAACTTCAAGAAATAAATTTAACAAAATTTTACTCCATCACAGTAAATCATTGTTTATTGGTATATGCAGTCAACACAACACGACCGTGATGGAGACTGAACAAAATTAGTAATTTGTCTTATTCTACTGTGCACTCTTCATATTCGTATCTTACATATTTTTATAAAACTATCATAGGTTAAGTGTTTTGAATTTCAGATCATTTGTTATCAATTGATTTCAGTAAGAAATAGCTGATTTAAACAATTTACCTCGTAGTTTCGTATTTTCTCCGACATAAGGTACAAATGGCGGAAAATTTTTTGGCCTTGTTTCTAGCATTTCGAATAGAGGCGGTTTTGAAGCTGGTAGTAAATGCTAAAAGAGTCCAATAAAAATCAATGAAGAGAAATTTAGACTACAGCTAGTAAATGTTGTGAGAATGATCTAATCGTATTCTACTTAGAATAGTAAATAATACCGTTCGTAGCCGATGCGCTAACTCGTTGTAATCATCTTCGGTATGACAGAGAAAGCCAAGGGCCAGCGATGGATCCACCTTGTCGATCTTCGTGCTCAGAATGAATGGGCAGTGATAGGTGCTGTCTTTGAATTCATCATTTTTTATCTGCAAAAGAAGCAATGCAAATATATGAAACATATGAAAATAATGAACAGAACGGTAGGGAAAAAATTATGGGTATCATGAGAAGTAAGGAAATGTACATAATAAAGTACTGAATTGACTTGAACCATGCAAACATCTTACCTCAACATAACCATCACGTTCATCTCTCGTTGTCGTAGTTTCATCTAAATCTACGAAATCCTGACAGAAATGAGGGTCGAGATAAAGTAACTGAAAATATAGCACCATTTTGAATGTAGTATCATAAAATTTTAGAACTTTGAAGACTTGCCGGCTTCACGTTACTACTGCTAAATTATTCGATTCAAAAGATTTTGTCAAATATGACACAACTGTTTTCCTAACTATGAAACAGATTTTTATAAATCTATTTCTTTATTCAGCAAAACACTCCTGATGTCATGACAAATAAATAACTGTATATCTCAATAATTATGACATACATTATTATCTGCAATACCGCAAAAATAAAGTGCATGATTGGGTCGACCGCCAATAATGCCAACACACTGTGGTAATTGAAAAAATGCCTGAAACTATGAAAGTACTAAAATGTTACAATTTGCTTTTTTTCATTTTTCATTTGTATCTTCCACCATCTCAATTCATACAAATGTGAGCATGAAACATTAAAAATTGACTATTCAACTCTGAAATCATATCTTTTTTTAACAGAGATGAATAATTGTGAGATTTCATCTTTTAACAGAAATAGATAAGTTAATTCCTCAAAGAAATTAGATGAATGAGAATTTCTTAGCAAACAGAAAATGCTTTTGAAAGATGTCTCATCTCATTTGTCGCTTTAGAAATTTCTTACACTTTCAGAGATTAAACTAAAACAGAGAAACAAAACCTGAATGGCAGGAAAGTAACAACGGTTGATTGTATTTAAGCCAAGTCTAAGTGGAATGATAATCAGCAGCGGTCGCCACTCTTCGTTGACACCACCGTAACTGCTTATCGAAGAGGTTTCACTTCGTGTTGGAGATCGAGTTAAATCTGGTAATATTTCTGCTTCTGTAAGATTTCTTCTTTGATCAAGCTATCAATAATTATTGTTACTTTATAAAATTCACAGTTTCAAATATTTATAAAATTCACAGTTTCAAATATTTATTAAAAGTTTTTTTCAATATAAATGTGAATGAAATAAGATTAATTTACCAGCAAGATTAATAGCATCATGATTATCATTATAATCACTTCCTGTCTCACGCCGAGATCTACAATAAAAATTTCAACTATGTAACTAATAAATAATGCCAAAATAAACAAAATAATAGTTTTGAAATCACAAAAGTTGTGACTCAAGCATTTATTCTATAATAACTCTTTACTTTAAAAGTTAAAAATGAAATGAAAGTTTTAAAAATCTAATGCAATGAAAATTAAAAAAAGTGTGCCAGAATATTAATTCAGAAAGTTAATAAAAATTAAAATTACCCAGATTTTCGTTGAGGAGGTTTAGTAAAAGCCATAGTACGTATATCGCTTGTTATCAGCACATTATCAAGAGCTACATGTACCGTTAGTCGTGACCACTGATCGTATATGACCAACTTTTTCAGTACCTGAGCTGCCGTATTCGGACCAAACCATTCTCCAATTTCCTTACCTTCGGATACTCCCATATGTGCTACAAATAGAATAATGTGACCTCGAAATGTCAAAACATGAGTGAAAAAAAATCTTATTTTTAGATATTACTGTTTTATTTTTAGATATTATTATTCTTTAAAACACGAAAGTACGCCATAGTCGGAACTACACAACAATTCATGAATTTCGCGACACTTTGTATCAGATCAATTTGAAGCTTAATTCTCATGTGGAGTGATTTCAGAATGACTTCCGGAATAATTCGTACCTTATAGAAACAACTTTTAAAAAATTCAATATTATAATCGAAATTATAATCGAATTTCAACTTAACGAATTCAACAACCATTTTTCCTAAGTTACAAGCATAAGCAAAAAAACAGTTAAAAGCAGTAACCAAAATATTGAAAGAAATTGGGCAATTTTACCTATTTGATGTATTGAGAAAAGGCAGTTTTTTTTATCCTGGAACATACGCAGAATGCGCTTGTATTTCGCCAGCTTAATATCTCGGTCCCAAAGCCAATTACGACCCAGATGTCGCATTATCAAAACCCGACCCAATAACATTTGTCCACACCGCAGCATACATCCCCAACCTTGGTCAGTCGTTGGCCCAGTGCCACCTATAACAAAACGAAATTAACAGTTAATAAAAGTAAACAAATGTCGAAGTCAAGTGTGAGGTAAATGATTAATCATGCAAATAAAAACAACAGACAGTTTTATTAGACACTCCATAAAATTAAATATTACATATCCGATTATTCAAATATTTCTTAATTCATTCAGTTTTTAATAAAATAGTGTGTCGTCGAACCCGAATAATCATAACTTACCAATGGGTTGAAAATTTTTCCGATATGTAAACCATAACAGTGATGACATAAATTCTTTGATGCGTCCCATATCTAAAATCAGAAATAAACGAAGAAAATAAATAAATAAAGAAAGAAAACAAACATGATATTGTATTTATTGCTAGCTCAATCTAAGTGAGCAAAATTTAATTTATTTCAGTAGTGCTTGTATGAAATGACTATAGAAAGAATAGAACGGATTTAGAAAGCTTTTTGATAGAAAAATAATCCCCATTTAACGATAGCTAATTATCGCTACAATCAATTTTCCTTTCTCAACAACAACAAATATACCTCCGGGAATGCCCATATTTCAGTCAAGATTAATATCCAAACTCAAATTCTAATCTAGTTTGTAAAGAATTCCACTTCTCATTATTATAGAATAAAAGTGGCTTTACAATATACGATATCTGCAGTTGATTCAGCAAAAAAGAATGAAGATTTAGCTAACCACTTCTTGATTTAAATTTTTCGCCTAACAGATAGATTGGAAGATTTGAATCAAATAAAGCATAGTTTTGAGCATCTGAAAAGCCCGGATCCAGCGTAAGATAAGTTTCCAACATTTTGCTCACTGTAGGTTTCCAATCGGCAAATAATCTTCTGGAAGAACAAATTTCAAAAATCTATTAAAGATGAAAAAAATTAATAATATTTGCAAAGAGGGAAGTTTATACTATGCTTATCATTTTTTTCCCCTCCAAAACTCCTCCAATTATATGTTTTTTTTTCTTAAAATTAATGTTCAACTAATGATTTAAATGAAACATGTTTGTATCATACATACTAAATTACATCAGATTAAAATTTCAATTACAATTCAACCAAAAAAAAAGTCGAGAAGACGTAAAAAACCTGAACTCATAGATAAAATGTATCAGATGTGAAGCGTGCAATATGTATTAGTTAATCCAATATGGAATGTGTAAATTTTATGGTACAATTATCGATATTTTACATTGCTTAGTGAAATTATGGTATGTCTAATATATGCTATCTTATCTTCTTCATTTTTTAAATTCAGAGACACTTAAAGAAGTTCCTTAATTGCTCAAACTCATATACTTCTAGCCAAAATCATCAGATCTTTATATGGAAAACAATAAAAGACAGGAATTGAAGAGTAATATTAGCCTTCTAATAGCATTATTATAGAAGAGATAAATGAATTAAATGCTATACAGCAACACATAATCATCTCACCAAAAATAAAATCAAAACATTGTAATTCACGGGAAAATTATGAGCATTTCTGAGAAAAGTGCAAAAAAAAAATCCCGATGATAACAAATAAATAAAATATGAGTGAATCGTTTATTTTAAAATTGAAATAAAATTCTATTAGCAATGTAAATCTCATTTAATCATTTTACATTGATGCAATATAATCTAAAAGGTGAATAGGTGAGTCTTTAATGATGAAAACATTTTTCACAAATTCTAATGAATGGATAGCTTTTTCCTCTCTTTTCTTCAACAACATTTAGTGACAGAAATACAAAGGAGGAATGAAATGACAGGTATGATGTGTAGAAGATAGCAAGAATGATAAGAGAGAAAGAGAGAGAGGGAGAGAGAGAGACATACTTTGCTTCCTCATGTACTCGATCTTTTTTTAGCCTTAGTTCGGCTAACATCACCTGATAATAATAATAATAAATTGTTCCTGTTGACCATCAAACGTTGCCAATGTGTTGTTAGCAAAAGTTTCGTTTTGATGCTGAAAGAATGTGGAGAATGGAATAATATAGAAAGGAGCATACGTTGTATCTCACATTTCACGTAACGTTTATTATTTCATACATACGTCATACATATCTTACAGTTAAAACACGTTATAAAAATTCCATTGGAATATTTCCAAATACACTAACTTGCTGCAGAACAAAAAAAAAAAGGAATAGATACAACGGACATACATTTCTCTCAATAATATCTCTTCTCTGCTCGTCTAGCTTTCTCTCTTTCTCCTCTATTTATCTCTCTCCTGTTTTGCCATGTTGTCAGAAAGAGAGAGAGAGAGAGAGAAAGAGATAATTGCTGCAACGATTTTTCAATATGTTCCTTCCATTTTCACGTGAAATCATTTCCTCTTCAAGTTATATTTTTATTTTCACGTGAAATATTTCTCACTCAGATGACGTCTTAGCACGCGTATTACGCAATTCTATTAGCATTTGTTATTTATAGAATACACTTTTTTTTTTAATTTTTTAATTTTTAAAAAATTTTTTAACTTTAGCGAATTTTTTTGATATTTGCTTGCTTTCAAATTTATTTTACTTATAGGATTAATCTGGAACTAAAGAATGATATCTGAGAAATGGATAATATTTTTGCTCACATATTCGAGTTCTGAAATATTTTCAGGTTGTTTTGGTTGTAAAAATTGATAATTCCGGAGATTGGACGAAGCAAATTAAATGGTATTGTAGTGATATGTGCATTCCTTTCCTGGAAATAACAAATTAAAATTACCCTCAATTTTTGCTATTTTTTATGTGTGGAAATAAAGCGAATATCACGGAAGTATTATATTTCATGAAATTTGCGCAAATTTTATAAAATTCATAAACTTTTAAACATTTCAGGCTTTATTGGGTCACCATATACTTGCGTCATTATTCATCTTTTTTTTCTTAACCAAAATTCGCAAGAGATTTTCATTGGTTGAGATTATCCTGTGTAATCGGTTAGTTCTTAGTCTTTTGCGTGATAATAAGCTTCTCCTTCAGTTCCGCTTTGAGGCCTCCGATCAAATATAGTTATTTCAATTTGATGTTCAGCTGTACAAGTTACATGGCTTTTTGACTAACGCTGATCTAATTAGTAATATAACCAATTTTTGCTTCCGCAATGCAACCATACTTCTTCTGGAATGTATTTTTTGCATTCTTTGCTAACATTTCAATCTGTTCGTTCTTTATTTTCGGATTAATCCTCTTCTCGTTTTCGATCCTTTAGCTTTTCTTTGTTTTTCTGTACTTCATCGTTTGACAATATTTCAGAAATTTTTAATTCTTCAGATTACAACGATATTTACCACCATCAAATGCTGCTTTAAAACAAGCATCTCAATCCCGTGCTAACCGTTCAGTGAAAAATCGAAAGCGTAAGCATACACGGTAATGTTTATTTCTTTGGTAACAAAATGATCTTTTTAATTCATTATTGAATTTGATTTAATCTCTGAAATGACCTTTTGATGCTTTCTTTGTTTATGTAGTGATGAAGAATCTGATGTTTTGGTATCAAAACAGATGGAGTTGAATTTGATGACAATTCCGGTGAATATCGCTGATTTACAACATTTGCAGTTTTATGAAACATTTATGTGGTCTGCAGAATTTCTTGGATTTACTTTAGTAAGTTGAAATTGCAATGTCTCACCTTAAATTTTTGAAATCTTTTACATGAATTGGGACAGAATTGTGAAGAATTTGGAAAGTAGTAGCGATAGATGCAATATACAAGCTCAATTTCGATTCACTTCAATTGTCAGTTATTTTGTTTTCAATTAGCTCTTATTTCTGGAAATATTGGAATTAAGTTTTCGAGCATAAAACGCTTCCTTGCACATTATTATAAATAAATAAATGTATAAAGAAACTTTCTTATCTATGATTTTATATTATTAAGCATGAAAAAGTAAAAAATATTAATCAATATTGTTAACAGAAATAGTCAAATAAGAATAAATTTTCTTAGTTATGTAGGAATTCGGAAAAGTATAAATGGAATTACTATCACAAGAGTTTTCTACAGAATTTCTTGATATCGCTGAAATGCAACCACATACGGAAAACAACAAAGGTTTATGAGTAATGAATATCGTAATTCAGTGCCCTCTAACTACCAATATATAGTTTGCTTCATGTTTGTGTGCACTTGTGCATATGTTAAATTAATTCTGCATATTTGCAGGTATCCTACATCACAAGCGAATTCATATGCTTTATCTTTCCAAGTAATACAGATTTCAATATTTCCATTATATGGTTACTTCTGTCTGTATTCTTCCTACTTCAGGTACGGACCAATCTCTTTCATTTATAAACTATTAAGAATTGTAATATGATAGCAGAATTTTCAAGTTATTTCAGAAACAGATAGTCTTTCTAATTTTTTGGTTTATTATGTTGTAATGAAAGATAAACTGAAAAGATTTCATTCAATAAATAAAATTATTAGGATCTGCTAAGAAATGTTATTTTGATGAATGTCTCATTTAATGAATTTTCAGGCACTGACTCTAATAGCAGCCACATACTTCACGAGTAATGTTGCCATTGGAGAAAGAAATTTGGTCATTTCGATAGCGTCTTTATTTTTCTTGTTCGCATTAATGTTAATCATGTTCGCGGAACGTCTCTTTGACACGCCCTTGAATGAAGGTAATTTATTAAGTTTTCATACATGAAAATCAAAGAGTTCCTTGGTCAGGATGAGATCGATAATTGCAGTAGCGGTTATTTTCAATTCCAATAATTTAGTTTTGAAAATATTGATTCCAGCATTCGATTCGCTGAAAAATGCAACGGCAAAATTTATGGCAGAAAGCCGAGTTCCAGGTTATATGTCCGAACATTCACCACTACTCTTCTTCATCTCTTTAGCTATTATGTTGGCATTTTTTGCTGCTCTGCTTGTTTTTCCCGGTTTTAGGTATGCACGCATGTATTCCGACGTCGTTAAAGACGCTGAACAACCGCTCGATAGGTAAAGATTCTTAAATATTATATCGAAATATTTTTAGTAATCTTTTGCATAAAGATTTTTGACACTATATAAGTGCTTCTAAACTTTCTGAAAATTTGATTTGATATTATCAGCTGAATATGATGTTCGATCATTATTTTTAGGGCTGAAAGTTAGTTATAAATGGAATGTCAGGTAGATTTTATGAGCCGCATTACATTCTATAACCTTGCAAATTTTTTACATCTAATCAAATAATATTATCACGCATTATTTCAGGATGTTATATCACTTTACCTTTATGTCACAGTTTTTGGCGTTATTTTTATACTCTCATCCTGTAAAAAACTATCTAGTTTATGGACCTAAACGACTGTGAGTTATATTTGTTTAAAATAATTTTGTTTTAAAGATGCAGGTTTTTTCTTTCAAGTATGAAATTATTCTTCTAAGTATTAATGTTTATCATTTATAGATTGCAGAGCGCTTAATTTGTGTCATTTATAAAAAATGTTTCATTAGATATCTTAGCTAATTTATTTATGAAATGTGAAATATAATAAAAATTTGTAACATTCACAGTTTTGTATTATCTTTTTGATTTGGTTTTATAATATTTTCAGGCTAAATGAATCTCAGATGGACATAATGCGTGTATATACCGTTATTTTAACTGCACTGTTACGGCTTTTGCTCTACCGGCCTCATTTGCAATCATTTTTGAATCAGTCTTTGATCATCCTTTCCAAAATTAACCGTGAAAGCGGTTGGATCAAAACATCAGTGCTGCAAATGAAAGTGAGCTAATTTTTTAATGAACTTTCTATTTTAGTGGAATGAGCCATTGGTAGAGTAAATGGAGGACTAATTTTTCCTGAGAAGTTATCAATTTTTCAAATTTCTAGTTCCGTTTTCTTTGATATTTCACATACTTTGATTATTCTCAGGAAAAAAGCTCTGTCTTTTTTAGATACAACGTTATTTCTATTTTTTCAATGTTGCTGCGTTGCACTATTTTGTGCCTCCTCTTTTACCAATGCTTTATGCTCTAATTTTGAAAACAACATGTAAGTTTTGTAGCAAATTTCTAGAGTCATTAATTTGAACAAGATGAAATTTTTTGTTAGTTTATAAAGAATGAAATATAAGATATGAAACGAAGAGTATAGATTTGTCTCTTGATTGTGTATTTTTTAGAATTTAAAATCTAAATTTTTGAATTTAGGTGGTATCTCATGGACCGGAATGAGTGACGAAGCTATCCATTCACAAATGCTGTCTGCTATTCCTACAGGTTCATTACGGGCGCTATTAAATGCCACTGTGCACCGAGGATTGTGGTCAATCTTAATTGTTGCATCGCTTGGTACTAACGCAGCTTTTGCTCTAATGGGTCTTATTTATGCTCATCGTTTTGAATGGTCATAACATTAATGCTCAATATTAATATTCGCTCAACATGAGTTGTTAATTCTTATGCTGAACCAAAGTTTTTCTTTCGTAGTGCTAGATTGCAATATGTATTGTGATATCTTTAAAAATACCATCAAGTGCTATCTGTATGACTTAGTTAATTTAGTCATCAATTTTAAGTTAATCACCAGTTAATTTATCTCATAATACAATAGCAACTCCGAATTTACTTCAAATTACAGAATCTAAAATGATACTCCTTTATTAATAAATCGTATCCATATTATAATTATTGATCGACTTGACATTTCTTTTATGGAATTTTAAAATGTGCCATAGATTTCAAATATTTCATTTATTGGTTTTTCTTTTACAATTAGAGTTTACGTTTTGTCGTTTTTGCTTGGAAAAGATCTAGAATTTGATTTATCGGTTTATTGTTATTAATGGTTTCCTTGTGTCTCTTTTTCTTAAAATTTCTGTTATAGTTTGCAACTTTAAGTATAGTATCGATTTTATACTTTTATGATTATTACTGCATTAAGATAATGTTTGAGTTTAAATGCGGGTTAGAGTTTTCGTATTGAAAATAAATAATTATATCAACTAAATAAAAGATGCATTTTTATATTCATTCTTCGCCATATTAATTTTGTTATAAAAATATTTGGATAAATTTTCAAAATTATCCTTTAGGATTTCTCCCTTACTGTTACCTTGCCATACAAAATCATTCGAGGTTTGATATGTCTGTATTAAATTCCAACTTTATCTAAGATTTGATCTGTTAGTTATCGACTATTATGCAAATTTAGCTGAGAATGACTGAAGCACTCTCTTTGATGTACGGAATCGATTTGCCAGCACGAAGTATTGTTGGTCTTCCAGCAGAGCAAGAAAGGACATTATTTCTTGTTGGTACCTTATCGTTAAAGCAGGATAATCAGGTAAATCTCAGTTCATGTAGTTTTAAAGTGATAGAAGTTATGTTAAAAGTTGAAACAGTATAGTGGAGTTTATTGTTTTTTATTACTGCAATTTGTGAATGTTTTATTTCTGGTTTGCAGGAGAAATAATTGGATAATGACCTTTTTTACAAACATTTTGAACAAAATCTTTTACTTATATTTCCTCTCATTTTTATAATACCCGTACAAATATTTTTTGCTATATTTTACTCTCGATATTACTTGATTTTTTTGAGGTTTGTTTGTTGGAAGTCGATGATGACTGGCTTCAAATCACCAAACGGTCATTTAATCATCCTGCCGGTGAAATTTGGTGTTTGTCAAGTTCACCCATTGATTCGAACATTATTGCTACATGTTATGTTGCTCGTAAGTATCTGGTCACTATCACTTTTCTAGAACCAGAATGTATGATATTAATTTTTCTAGAACTTTTCTAGAACCAGAATGTATGATATTAACGAGGTGGAAATAGAATGGGAGAGGTGCAGTTTTTTTTTGTTTACATTATCATTTAAATAAGCATTAAGAAGGCATGGCAGATTATTAAGAAAACCAATAGGTATGTTTGCAGAGGTTATAAAGGCCAAGCTTTATTTTTAAAAAAATCGAAATTACCTTTTTAGACATTCGTAAATTCTGGGAACATATATTGATCTAAAATGACAATTTTTCATATTTTTCCAATGAAATTTTTTTCATATTGTTCTGGTAAAACATTTTTTTTTTCGGGAATGACACAATACGAAGTGGTGTTGGTTTATGGAAAATGAATGATGATGAATCGAACCTTATTGAACTTGCACAATATATATCTCCTCCCAAAACTGGAAGATGCATTTCGTAAGTTTGAACTGTCTGCTTTTTAATATAGAGCATATTGTGATGGTGCACATCGAAACAGCCTTGTATAGGTTTCTTGGAAGAAAAAATATACAGTAATATTCGAATTTCTTGTTGTAGTTCTCATTATTTAATCGCCACTCTTTATGATTAGCTTTGAATATTACTATATATTTTTTCTGAATTGATCTAAAATTTGAATAAAGCTATCTAAATTTGTGCTGTCAGTTACTACGATTATATATAATTCAACCGTTTGAATATTTTTCTTACAATTTTGATTACATAATAATTTATTTCAAGAGCTGAATTTCATCCGAGTGGCAACAGAGTGGTCATTGCCGTTAGTAATTCTGCGTTAATAGCTGATGTAACCAACTCATTAAAGGTTTCTTTGTCTTTTATCTTTTCTTCAAAAATTTTTTTAATTAGCTGTGTCGTTTCGTCGTTTAATATATAGTAATATTCAAAGCTTTCTCAGCAACAGGATTGATCTAAATGTGCTTGTCCCTGCATGCTTAATTTTAAATTTCTCAAAAGTTTTTATTTTATATTTTCATATTTTATGGTTTCTCTGTCGTGTACTCTTTGTCTGTCAATAAAAATCATGTTTAGAATTGAAAATTAATGTTTTATGACTTTCAAAATTCTAAAAAAATGTCTTATATTTTAAAATTGATCAATCTGGCATCCATCATTAAGTTACATAAATTGATCTTAATCATCAATTTTCATCAGAATGTTCCAGATAGAAAGTTCCACATCGGTGGACAGTAAAGCACCAATAAGCGCATCAATATGGAATCCTCATTCAGACGGAAGTACTTTAGCATTAGCTTATGATACATTGGTGAAAGGCGTTGATGTTCGTAGTCTTCAGTATGTTTGATATATTCTGTTAAATTTTTTTATTAGATTTGATCAGAAGCGTCTTTTTTGGATTACTTGATCTCATAGAAATGCATGAAATTTCACAATTTTCAAGTAAAATCCAATCCGATTTTTTTTGATACAGTAACGCAGATATTTTATGAAAAAATCGGTTGAGTTTTTTCAGGGAAGCATTCTGTATTAAACATGTAAATTCACCTCGTGTCAGAAATTTGGATTTCAATCCCAATGTGCAGCACATTGTAGCAACTTGCGGTGACGATTTCAGAGTGGTGTTATGGGATATGCGGAAAGTGGATATACCTTTGAAAGTTTTGCAAGATCATTCGCATTGGTAAATCTTAATTTTGATATCAGTTCCTGAATTGATTAGCTTTTTGCTTTTACAAATTCAATTTCCTCATTTCGGTACACAACTTATATTTCATATAATTGTTGGTATTTGTAGGGTATGGTGTGTCAAATTCAACCCCATTCATGATCAGTTGTTGTTATCAGCAGGTAGTGATGCTAGATTGTTTTTGAATAGCTTGGAATCTCTCAGTTCTGAATCTATCCATTCTCTGGCATTGGTACCGGATGACAGCTATTCTTTACCCGAAAAGTAATTACTTTAAATTCCAAATGAATATGAATGTCATTTTTCTTTTTTTGCACCTTTTGTTTATCATCAGTTGCATGTTTTGCTGTTTATTAATTATTCAAGAATTATTTTTTCAGTGTTTTGGGTGATGAACGTTTGGAAAAGATGGAAGAACATGAGGAGTCGGTATACAGTTGTGCATGGGCTAATAATGATCCGTGGATTTTCGCTTCAGTTTCTTTCGATGGTAGAGTAATCGTTTCAAAAGTAAAACGACATCATAAATATGCTATATTGCGATTATAGCAAAAAATTGGTAGTGGCAAAAAGTTATAATGTGATATTCTTGTAATTGTTGTAATATGATTCTGAACTGTCTTTCTGCTTAGTTATTTTAAAAAAAAATGAAATTTTTTTTTGTTTTGATATATTGTTTTAAATTCATTTGATCTGTAAATTTACTTCTAAAACTTGTGTTTTTATTAATTTTTTTTTTAAATTTAGTTTTCTGATTTTTTTGCTATCGGTTATTTTTTCATTTTTTATTTTACATTAAATTCAATATCACTTATTTTATTTAATTGATTTTGAAGCAGCTTGCGATTTATCGTTTTTAATCCTTGCCATTTTATGGAATAGTGTATTGCTGCACAGTGTCGATTTATTGGGCACAAGGGTGCTCAAATCAGATTTTTCAATAAAAATATTAGAATTTTAGCAAATTGAAAGAAAAGCAGAAAACTCGAATATAAATCACTGATTGATTTCAGAGATTGAGGTACAACGTGTCATGCATCTACTATTTGTTGTGGACTCCATATAATGGTTTTTAAGATTTCTACTACATCTTATCATCTCGAAGTAAATTAATAATTTTTTTCGCAATTTTCTTCTATTAAAAATACAAGCATGTTGTAAATGTTAATCTCATCATAGAATACTATCATCCTTTAGATTTGAAGTATTTATGAAAATCATTCATATTCATTAGTCCTTAAATATTTTCCCCTCAGTACGTTTGCGATCCTATATCCTATTTCTATTTTCATGGTTGAAAGAGTTAATGTGTTGCTAGAAAACATAGTTGTATTGCAAAGTGAGTTAGTTGATCAAGTTTTGTGAGAGCATAGAAACATGTTGGATTAAGAACCTGCTTCTATTTCCTAGATGTTTTTACTTCCGTTTATCTTTTTCCTTTTTCTTTTTCCTTGGAGTGCAATTTTTTAAGCGCAGTTTTCTCTGAAAAATGGCGATTAATTCAAAACAATCATTATTAGTGAGAATTGATTTGATAAGAAATGAAATGTCAAAGACATCGTCAATCCATCCTCGGTTTTTTGTTTTTGTTTTGTGTTTTAGATTCTTGAAAATCTCCATAAGATCAAAGATCTATTTTAGTGCACTCCAGTTTCAACTTTATCAGAAAGTTTGATTGCCTAATGTAATAGAGAGGAAATAAATATCAGATTAAATCACGGAATAAAACTAGTAGTGTAGTTTGAAAATAAAAGAGGAGAATGAAATAAATGGACTGCTGAGTAATTTGGTATGATTTGAGGTATGCATTATAATTTCTTCCTTAATTTATTTTATCTCACATTAGAATTCAATCTGGTAGGCATTTTTCAAATATTTTCTGACCATTACAGTACGATTAAATCCATGAAATTTCTGTGAAATTTGAATTTTAAATTTTGAATTTTGCGTGTATGTAAAATTCAAATTTAAAATACGTATATATCAGCAAGACTTAATTATTCTTTATTTCTTGAAGATTATTTATTGATTGTTGAAAAATTTCGGAATTTGTTGGATTATTTAACAACTGGATCAGATCACATTATTATGTAATGCAACAAGTTACACTGGTTTATTATATGTAGAAGAAGAGGAGAGATGAGATTCTAAAAGATGATTTCTGTTGTATAGCGTTTAATAACCCGGAGCAAGACGTGCTGGTGGACAGTGATCGCAGCTTCCTGGAGCACCTGGTTGACCTGGCTCACCTGGTGGTCCCGGTTGTCCAAGTGAACCTGGTGGACCTGCAATTTATGTTTCATCAGTAACTTGCTCGAATAAATTTTGAATTTTAATTTTGCATTCTTTTTTCAGTGTTCAGATTAGATAAGCATAGAGGTGAAAAAAATTCATGAAAATATCAAGTATATATTTTTGCATATCATGAAACATACCACGTGGTCCTGGTTCTCCTGGGCCACCTGGTGCTCCATTTTCACCATCTCGGCCTGGTGGTCCAGGTCGGCCAGGTTGTCCTGGTGAACCTGGTCGTCCTGGCTGTCCTGGAGGTCCTGGTGGAGGCCGTTCTCCTGGAATGAGTTGTCCAGGTTCACCTGGTGGTCCACGTTGTCCAGGCTGTCCATTTTGACCAGGTGGACCTGGTGGTCCTGGCGGTCCTTGAGGTCCTGGCGTTCCATCATCACCGTCTGGAAAACGTATATTACATACATGAAATTCAATGGTATATAAAAGTATATAGCTTGATAACCATCAAAAATTAAACTTACTTGGTCCAGAACTTCCAGGTTGTCCATCAGGTCCAGGTGGTCCGGGTGGTCCAGGAGGTCCAGGAGCAGCCTGGCATGGGCATTGCGGAGGTACTGGTAGCAATCTGTCGTGAAGATCAGCATCTGGACCTGGTGGTCCAGGTGCTCCGGGACCCTCACCTGGTGCACCATCTCTTCCCGGTGCACCTGGTGGTCCATCTGGTCCAGGTGGTCCTTGCTGACATGTGCAACACTGAGCTTCAGCTTGACGAGTAGCACGAACCAGTACGTCAAGCGGTTCGCTATCTCTTTCCGGTCCCATCTCCACCATCTCCTTCCACATATCGCGTGACCGTGACTTGCAGTACTCTACTTCACTCTAAGAATTATAATTCAGTGATTCGAAAATTTGAAATCTTTAAAATTTAAAAAATTTTTGAAAACCTTAAAACTAACCTCGTATATTCTTAGAAATCTAATGGAATGGAATAAATCGGGTTAGTTTCTTAAAAATGTGTTATTTTTACTATCTGAAGTAAATTCAGATAGTAAAAAAAAATGAAATTTTTTGAAAAGATATCTACGAACCGGATTCTTCACTGCTTTGAATCCATTATAGATTTCTTCTTAACCTTATTTTTCTTTTTCTTCCCCCTTTTTCTTTTCATTATTGTAGTGAATAAGGATGAAAACTGATCAGATAAGATCATTTTTAAAACGCAAAATTTGTTGAAGACTATATTTATCCAACTCTCTCTACCTCTCTCTCTCTCTCTCTCTTTCTCTCTCTACATCCCCCTCTATATATTTATCCGTACTTTTTACATTATTCCGAATTTTTTGCAGAATTAAAAAGATGATAGAAATAACTTCTCCAATGTTTTCTTTTTCCTCATCACATTGCTCTAAAAATATATTCATTTGAGAAACTTTCAAGTATGATATCACTGCATTAAGTTTTATAATTTAATCTCCTAAATACCGTATTTTTATAAGTTTCCAAGATATTCAAATATATTTAAAATATATTTAACTATTCACAAAAATATTTCTTTAAAATTTGCCACATAAATATATTTTGTGAAAACTTTATATGAAATAAAATTGTAGCATAATTTCATAGTAATTACTGTTTCATCTTAAAAAAAAAAATCACGAAAATATCAGTCTAAAATAATGAATGAAAAATGCTTTAAGTTTTCTGAATAGCAAATTTTAATTTCTTTTAAAGTAAAATAATGAAAATTTTTTGGAATGTAAGAGAAAATAATTAGCAAAATAAATGAATAATAACAGGAAATAAAATTTAGACAATTTTTTTTTTTTTTTGAATTCACCATTTACCTGTACAGTTGCTTGTAATGTTTGAACATAATAGAAAACCATAGGAAACGTGAAAATACATGCTGTTACCGCTACCGTTGAAAATACAACAGCTGCAAAAGCAACCGAACGTAACGATGATTTGTTCGCCATGTTTTGTTATTATTCATGCAATATCCTTCAGGGGTCTTTTATAGAGTGAGTATATATATATGCCGTATAGAACCGGTATGGACGGGATGGTGGAACGAACGAACGAACGAACGAACGAACGAACAAACGAACGGAGAGGGAAACACCATATTGTCCGTTTTGTTGAAAACCTACCATTTACCATATCAACCATATGCATTTTTCATACAGTTCTCTCTCACACTTGCATGTACTTGAGTTGTTCAATTTTGCAAAGCTTTCATCAATTTACATCAGCATTGATAATCCTGATCATTCCCGGGATTATTGGAATTTTTGGAAATTAAAATCGAAATGTTCCATTGATAGCAACAAATATTTCCAATTGAAAACATCACAAATAATTTCCATGAATGTTGTTATCATTCATTCTGCCTTAGAATAAAATTAATTTGAATAAAATTTATGATTTTTTAATTCTAATTTTGTATCTAATCTTTAATTTCAATATTTTAATTTTAATATGTAATGTGATTAGAAAAAATTTTAAACCATATTTTACTGTATTATGTATGCAATTTTGTTTTTTTTTTCTATCGCTTATTTTTTTTTTTATCAAAAATTTCTTTGCATCAAAAAGAAGACAAGAAATGAAGTGAATTATTTGCATCATAAATAAACATATCGGATCAGATCGGACTGAATTATAGATTTAATCAAAATTGCCATTTCATTTCGAAATCAATCATTTCATGATGAGATTAATCAATATAGTACATGAAGAAGTGAATGTTTGAATGTATTCACATAAAGAAAACTTGAATTTTAATTCTTCTTC